CTTTTCTCATTGGCTTTCTCTGCCTTGAGGACGCTATATCTCTCTTCGTATTCTTTTAAAAACAAAAGTCGTTATACATGTATATACACATAGCATTGTTACCTTATTAACGTATTAATTTTAAAAAGTCAGACATTAAATGCAAACATGTGCATATTGGTACATGCCGGTAAGTTTTGAGCCATTTTTGAAAGAATCACGTTTCTTGTGACAGCAAAAAACAATGATGTCGTCATACGCCCTCTATACTTTGCATAAGTTCTTGAGGTTCAGATTGCAGAAGCTTGCATTCAAATTCAAATCCATTATAATTCTTATTGTAAGAAGGTTCAAGTCAATGTAAATGGTTACGCCTTTTTGTTACTTTATTAATTATTCAATTTTAAAGATAATGAAACATAACATCATGTTTCATATATGTTTCAAATAAAAATTAGAAGATTTTTGTTTCTAACGTATTAATTTAAAATGAGTAATGATCATAGTTGGAAGAGAAAAATCTTAATTTCAACGGGGTTTTCATCAGGGTCATCCTGCTATGAAAAGCTCTCGTTTTCATTTGCTGCGCCTAATTAACGATTAGTTCAAATAGAGTAAACTATACCTCAGAATCAGATTTAGCTCATCTACAAACATAATCACATTTATATCCACAAAATACTAAATTAACTCAATAAAATACGGTTAAATTACACTTGATGTAATGTGTTATTTACATCAATCTTTTTGAAATTTATCAAGTGAACAAATTTAGACTTTCATTTTTCTGTTTAGCAAGGCAATTCATTTTACCAAAGGTAATTTGAAATTCTTTCATACCAGTCTTCATGTTTAAAAAATAAAATTCTAGTGTTATGAACCGTTTCGTATGACCTTTAAGCGCACCCTTGAGCATGAAATAGAGACTCTCGGTACATGAATTTTACAATTTGGTATAGGGCTCTCAAAATCCGAAAGCTGACTGCAGGTAGATATCCTGGGCAAAAATTTGAAATGTATATATGCATGTATTCTATAATATACATTCCATGTTAAACTTACTAATCCCTTCTATGATGCCAGACATCTCTACAAATGTACCACGGGTCATAGGTTTAACAAATCTGGTTGAAGGTTTATTGCACACTATATAATGGCAAATAGTTTTCTTGTTTTTTTTCCAATATGAAAAAAGATCTTCAAATTTTAAATGAAATTTTAAATACAACCAAATTAATTAACTTGCCTAAATCCCGGGTTTTTGCAAGTAGACTGTTTACGACTTTTATTATTATTATTCCTGCAAACGGATGTAAGTCCATTAAAAAATACAAAAATAGAATAAGAGTAAATAAAGACCTCCAAAACATCAGAGGTAGGATCAGGTGCCATGGAAGAGTGAGCATTCCCTGCCAACTGGTCACATCCGCCGTGTACTCCTTGTCATTATCGGGAAATAACGGAAAAATCCGTTGGCAATTCAGTGTATAGATAATGGACTAACAATTAGTATGAAAAACGTCAATCAGCATTTGACTCAATGATAAATTGTGTTTGTTGTCAACCTCATTGTATCGACCATAAAACTTACGAAAAGATGACATCAATTGCTGATATTCCTGATTTATAAACTTATATTTCAATAATTTACCTCGTTTGCGAAATTGCTCCTCCTAGAGAATGCTCTTACTTATCGAATCAATGGAGAGATATAAACTCCGGATGAAGGTAATGCAGGTATATTGCTGCACAAGGAAGGGAAGTGGGTGATAGAAAAGCCAAAGTCCTCACGTTTATCATCGATTTTGGTTGTTAGATTACCATTAACATCTTTTCTAAGTGGTGCATGATTTTTTTTTCGTTTTATAAAGCCTTTTCAAGGAGGTTCTCAATTAAAGGCGAGTTTGATGCCTGAGCATTTTGTTGCACTATGGTGGAATTAAATAATTGCATTCAGAATGTTCAACAGGAAAGAAAGAAGATCCTATATCATCCTTACATTTCCAGCCTCGGAATAGGGTTAGGTAGAGGAGGTTTATTTAGTTATTTAATTTGATTTTTTTTGCTTGTTATTTTAAAACATTGGCTTACCAAAAATGCATAATAACGGCTAACGGTCATTTGGAAAGGCTTCATTTAAGTGTTATATCGTCTTTTTGAAGTTAAAAGCATTATGACGCCTTCTGAATGAGCTTCACAAAATTTATTAATATGATAAGGTAGCGAAGAAAAATGTGGGTTTTCAATATCTACATGCAGTGACTGCCAAGCTATTGTGTAGAGGATTATTGTCAGGTTTCCAACTAAACTTAAGTTTTAATTGGTTTTTGTCCACGGCTTTTATCGATAAAGACCTTTCCAAACACACTATGAGTTTTTACCCCGTAACCTTTGATTTGACCTACTTTAAAAAAAGCCTTTCTTAAAATTGGTAACAATTTTTAAAAGAGAAAAAGATGAGAATTAATTTTCATATTACAAATTTATTGCATTTTAATTTGGACAAGTCCTTTCTTTAGTTTATCTTTGATTCAAATGCTGACGGACGTTTTTCATACTAATTGTAAGTCCATTATTTATAAATGGAATAAACGACGAGTTTTCCCGGTATTTCCCGATGACAAGGAACCCACGGCGGGTGTGACCGGTTGGCAGGAGATACTCACCGTCCCCATTGCACTTGATCCCACCTCTGATGTTTTGAAGGTTTGGTCAGTTTCCTCTGCTCCTATTTTGTATTGTTTTATGAACTTTTGATATTGAATACGGTTCGTTATCTCCGTATGTTTCATTTTATATCGTAACATTAATTTTGACCCTTTTGTTTGTATTTATTACAAGTTTATATTTGACACAATATGTCATAAATAATAACATCCATCCATTAAATTACCGAATGCGGGAGGGGGGAGCAATATTTTGAATTTGTTTTGTTTATTTAAAGTACTATTAACCTTTGAATTTTCTTTTCTTACAAAATTAACATGTGCACAATCAAAAAATAATGTCACAATCATACTCAAAGACAAATATATATATGTAGATCAAAAGAAGTAAAAATTACATAAAACGAGATATTTTGTGAATCTGGCTATTGATATTCCACACCAATCATTCTTTAAATAGGAATGTTTATTTCTTTATACTCATGACTTTTATTGATATGCGAAACATACAATGTGCTTTTGGCGCAAAAGGCGCGCTGTAATCAACGAGGGCAGCGACGCTATATAGAGATATATCGGGTAAGATTTTATTATCTAAAAAAACTCTCGTATTGTATAGCTTGTCCAAACATGTTCATACATGCTTATGCATGCAAGACTGCCCTTAACATTTAAATTATTGGTTGATGCATTCACATTCACATGTACATATGTTGCATTTATATACAAATTTATGCATCCCATCCCAAATGTATTCTTCAAGAGCATAATTTCCTTTGTTTGTTGTACATGTAAGAAAATATATCTCTTCGTGAATTTCTAAGCAGTAACTTCTAACTAAAATATTTACATGAACAAGAAGGTTACTTGCGTGGTACCATTTTGAAAATAAATAACTTTTTTTAAAATTCCAGACATAACAGTTTAATGTAAAAGAATCAATAGACGATGACCTAGTTTATAATTATCTTAGTTGTATCTAAATAATGAATGACAACGTGGTTTTAAATAATGATTAACTTTTAAAAATAAATATACTTAAAAAAAATTGTTATACATTTTTTTAAAGGCTGGACATCCCTTCATTTAATTTGTATTCAAGTTCGAATTCAAAAAAAAAAAATATGGAATACCGTTCTTGCGAAACAAAATGAAAAACATTGAACTAAAAAAGAGAAAAGAAAAAAAGTAAACCTTGAACTAAAATAAAGACAGAATAAAGCAATTTTCAACAAAAAAATAAAATGTCCGATTAAGTATTTATGTATTTATATATAAAAATAATGTACTCAATCTATGCATTTCCGATGAATATTTCACTTTTTCCACGATCATGTAAAATACTCGGGGTTTTCTCAAATCCTCACTTTTCTTCACGCCAAAAATGAGATATAATTTATTTCATAATGTTTCAGCATTTCTACAGATGTTTCACTGTAGCATTCTCACTTGTCTGTAGATGTCATTTTATTTTGAAATAATTTAACATTTCACATTCAAACTATTTCAATGTCAAAACCATATATTTGTCACTGTTAAGGTAGTGTGAAGGCCTTCACAACAATCAAAGCATGTATGTTGTTTTTAATTTTATAGTCAGCTTCGGATAGGCTGGAGTAACTTCATGTTAATCTAATTGAAATGTTAATACATTGATTTATGTTACTTCTATTTCTCATGCCTGGGAATCAATGCATATATTTAAGAGGGATGACAACATGTTTTCATGTTGAATCACATCATTGTTCTTATAAGCATTCCAAACCAAGGTCTACAAGGACTTTATTATATAAATATTGCATGTAGTTGAGTGCAACATTGAATATTTTCACCCCAAGAAAACCATTGTCAACCGAGGCGCAGCCGAGGTTGACTATGGTTTTCGAGGTGTGAAATTTTTCAATGTTACACTCAACTACATGCAATATTTATTATATTATACTGAATGTTTTATACAAATACATATAACAGTGAACCGTGCGCGCATAAATTCTGCGCAGTCGCTATTTTTTTTTTAATATCACCCGTCGTCAAGCAATGTTGACTGTTGCTACGCTGGAGGGCGAGGCTTCATTATTCAGCGGGTAATAGTGTTTTTTAACAAATGTTTCTCGACCAATCAGATTCAGCTAATTTAAATGAAAGTATAATATAATAATATATTGCCTTTGTCAGCAATGTCTTAGCATTCGAACAGTTAGTTTGCTGTTAAAAAAGGTTTAATAGTTCCTTCATGTTTTGACTGAATGTTTATTTTGACGTCGACGGCACTTTATTTAAAAATCGTGTTTGTTGTTCAGTGCTTAGTATGATAAAACATATCATATGCGTGTTACATTTTTTTTCACTTATTTCAGTAATTACAGATATGCCTCAACAACCAGTAGTAAAAAGAAGCACTTACTGTCTCCTTATGGTAACTGCAAATTGACCACTATTGCATGTTAAGTTCGTGTTTGACCGATTCTAACTTCTAGACACTCTGTGCTTTTAAATTGTTTCAATGCTTGAACGCATTTGTAATATGTTTTATGGTTTTCAGCGACACATGGCCTTGATATTGACCGTGTCTTTGAATTCCTTGAGAGGCTGTAAATGCTTTTCATTAAACAGTCATGTTTCTTTGGAATCATGAACATATGCTGCTTATATTTATAATGAGGCTTTAGAGTTGCCAAGAGAAAGAATGCATTTACATTGCATTTACATTAATATTACTTTTGAAAATATCTAGTAAATTAAAAAAATATATTATACCTTTCGTACTTGCACTCCTTTATGATAAAAAGGTTCTAATATGAAAAGGTTGGATATAATGATGTTTTACAGGAATGAACGTCAGAAGTGTTGTATATACCATATCATACCTAACAGTGGAAAACGTGAGATAATTTGCATAACGGGCGACGTTATTGTTGTGTGCCTTATGTGCATAAGGCCCGACAGCTCCTGACCTTTCACTTGGCAAAATTAACAAATTTACATTGAGGTGTGAATATCAAGAAATCAACATATATAGCTTTTTAAGAGTTACCACAGAGAAAACAATTAGAATTGTAAGTATATGAGTATTATATCACGGAACGCTGCAAGAAAGCTAGCAATTTATACATGTTATTACAATAAAATGCACTTTCTACTTTTCTCGACGGAGCTACCTATTCGAAGACGGCCATCATTTATTTCGCCAAAAACTTCTGATCTTCATACACGTACCAATTTCGATTCATTGATTTTTATAGCTTGAAAGGGAATAATAATTTATTGCAAACATTAACACAAACCCCATCCAAAATTTAAACAAACAAACAACAGAATGAATATTGTAACAAGGAAATATCAGCCACCTTTCAAGTTTTTTGCGAAAAAAATTTAAAGTACCTAAGTTTACATTGTTTTAGATAATCTTTTCTCAAGGACACCAAGTATATTGTAAACAAATAAAATGCATTATCGTATTTAACAGTTAAAATAACATTCTTTTAAGCCAGTAAAATGCTATTTTTGCTTGAAGTTCAATTATGTGTATATCTCTCAGTTGCCTTAAGAAATCGCATCTTATATGTTTGTTTCTATCTGTGTAATTTATGTCACATGTGCTGCTATGACATTAAATATCTTGATGTATGTTATGTATTTTATTTTCATATATGTATGTACATGTATACCTTAAACTTATCAAGTCTATCAAAACCTCTAAAAAGCTTATGTTTATCTAACATCAACAAAGAAAATTTCCTGCAAAAAGTATTTTTTCACTTTTATTTCACAGGATTTGATGAGTTAATCAGAGAAACGTTTGGTCCCTTGTAATAATCTATATCCGTTGTACATGTAGCTCATGTGAATATTTATTATGCAATCCAATTCAACTCGTAAGCGAATTATTATCAACATTGCATGTATATCTAAACTTTTGTACGCAAAAGTTGTCGTCAGTGGGTTTAACAATCTAAGTCATGTCTCTCCATATTTTTTTCCAAAGTGACACAATTGTCATTAAATAAAAGAAGATGAAATATGCTAAATCATCAATTTTAAAACTTTATTTGCTTCGTGTGGATTCTGCAGAAATGTTTGGGCAAAGTTTGCTTTTTTTTTCTATGGATTTTCTTTCTTTCTTTCAGATGGGACATGTTGTCCTTTTAAAAAAAAAAACGACGTCTATGCTTACATTGGCGTATAAATTGGTACATTATATAATTGTACATAAAAAAATGTTAGCATCACTATTACACTGCTGGGCTAAGATCAGGGTGACATTTATATATGTAGCAGTGTACTATTTGCTTGAATAGTTAAAGTTCATTATAAAGCTTTTAATTGGCATCCTTTACCCTTTTATCATATCAATGAAAATAAGCCATTAGTGTTTTTTTTTTAATTGACCCACTTCTTGTTTTGTTGAACATTTTTCTTTTTTTTAGCTGTTTTGGATCGCTTTACATGACCGTAGCAAAACCTTTGGTCAAGGACTAGATATTGCATGCAATGATTCTCTAGCAACCGTAGAACCTAAGCAATGTCCAAGGAATAAAGCCGAGCGAGATGTTGCCGCAGCTAAGAAGAACTGCGGTAGTCTTAAAAACACTTGTAGATCTTTTGAATACCATTGCGTTATAAATGAATGGATGAATGGAACCATAGACGTATGTGCGCCATCAATGATTATACAAAGTAAGTTAATTAACCTAAACATCTACATGTATATTACACGAAGTTTGATGAATTAATGATATTTTTGCACTGTGTTGCATTTAGACAAAACGTGCACAGGGAGGTAAACACAATCTTAATGGATTTGTAAATAATGGCGCTTTGTTTTCTTTTATTTCCATGTGCATGTTTTTGCACTGTGAATTACCTTAAATGGGCCCATTTTTGACATTTAATTGAAATGTATAATATTTTTAGATGTCTTGAGGTGTGAGTTTCAAATTATATTTTTGAACGAACACTTTATGTTTATTAATTTTTTTTTTTATTTAATTGAGCTTGAACGTGTGGGAAGAATTTTTAGATAATTGTTCGTGTCTGTCACGATCGGACAAAGTGAAGGTTAGATACATGTAATTTGGTTGTTATTGCTAATTTGATGTACTAGGTGTTGGTTATCCGATATTTAACAGTTTCCTTTAGAGGGACACCTCTAATTCGACATAATGTTTTTTAAGCAAAATTAGATGAATACAGGATAAATGTATTTATACGCTTTTTAAGCTTCATAGTTGCTATATATAAACTTATCATTTGAAACCTCTCTACATTTAAGTTCACGTGATGATTCATTTACGTTAATTGTTTGCATTTTTTAGAGGGAAAATGTGCCGAATTCAGCACTGGATTTAAATCGATTCGCATAAATTTTCTCACTGACTGCAAAAAGTATGATCCTCCATGTCCAGAGTCTTACAACTCGACAGAGGCTTACAAGTGTAAGTACTGTAAACTTGACCCAATCATGTTTTCATCTTAAAAGTGTTTAGACACAAATTGGTGTGACGTAAATATTTTCTCAAATATTTTGTTTAATATCACGACTTATATATTGTAATAGCACTTCTCAGGAATTTTTATCACAAACTTATTCTATCTAGAACTATGAATTCCACGGACGCGTTGGATGTACACATACATGAAACAAATTGGAGATAACGAAGAGTATTCAAGAATAAAAGTCAATAAAACAATACAAAACAGGAGCAAAGGAAACACGGAATCCAAAACATCAGAGGTGGGATCAAATGCTATGGAGGAATAAGCATACCCTGCCGATCGGTCACACCCGTTGTGTGCTCCCTATCATGATCGGGAAATAACGGAAAAATCCATCCTAAATTCAGTGTTCACAATAATGGACTAATAATTTGTACGAAAAACGTCAGTCAGCATTTGTCTTTATGATAAACTGACCACCATATATGTCTTTTTTAAGTAAAATTTCAAAAAAGATACAGATGTGTCAGACTCTGTGGTATCTTATATCTTTAGCTCACCAGGATACATCGTATTGACATTAGAATGGAAATTACCATTGTTAATTGATAAAACGACATCAATACATGTATATCTAAATGTTGAAGGCCACAACAAGTGTTTCTTCTTTAACGCATAAAAGTTTGTAAAATTCTTCATATGAATGCAAAAATAGGTCTGCTAAAAAGGGGCCAATTGCTACCCATGGAAATTCTAATAGATCGTTGCAGACCTGGTCTCAAAAAACAAATAGATAATGTAAATCAAAAACTCGAGCATCTTTTTGATGTCAACTTCAGAGTACTTGTTTGTACAATTAAATTGTTTTTTAACAAAATATTTTGCAAATGACCAATGACAAGGTAAGTAAATTCACGAGTTCCATTTTTATTGAAAAAGCAGCTGTGAATGGACCTTGATTTATCGTTGGGAATGGTTGTGTATCAAGTTGAAAGGTCGCAAAATTTTAAAATCTTTTCGTGTCAAATTGGCCAAAAGTTCCTTGGATTTTTTCAATTAATTTCCACACCTGATTTACACTTCTTCTTGAATTTATTGTTGCACACTTCTCTTGACATTTCTCCTTCGTGAGGAGTTAAGAAGGTGAATTTTAACTTTATTCTTAATATTTAAGAAAAGAAGCGATTCTGTTGTCTATGAATAAAAAATATCACAATCTTTAATCCAGAAAATTCAAAGAAATGTTCGAAATCAAAAACCCCTCACTATCAACAGCCCGTGCTCAGTGTTGTTTGCAAGGTTTTACATATTGAACACATCCATGAAACGTAAACTGTTTCGTTAAATAGGGCACGAGCTCTGTTCTTTTTAATGTTTACGATTAGCTGTATTTAAATAAGAAATAAACATAATTGTGATATCTTTTCTTACCTTTTTTTAATTCAAACTTGAAAATTGGCAATTTTTAATATTTTTAAGGGATTTTCAGCCATAATAGACCGAAAAGAGTATTTCTGTTGCCAAGGAAACCAGACGCTGATTTGATAAAAAATTAATTTATTTTAGGAAGTCACTAAGCATACTCTACCAGCATGCAAAGTTTTAAAAAAAATCTGAGACACCTTAAATTCTTACGTGTGCTTAATTGTTAAAGTCTGAGCAAGGACAAGAATATATAGTTGTAATATTTTTCATTACCACTTTTCTGAAAGATTTAGAATAAAATCCAAATTCTTTGTGAAAATACAAGGATGTGCCAATCAAACGAAGTCAGAAAATTAAAGTTTCAATGACTTGGAGATTATATAAGCTGTTTATTATATTTTAGCATGAAATGCTTTAGCATCATATAAGTCATGAAGGATATGGAGATAACGAACAGTATTCAATATCAAAGTCCATAAAACAATATAAAATATAAGCAGAGCAAACACCGACCTCCGAAACATCAAAGGTGGGATCAGGTGCCATGGAGAAGTGAACATCCCCTGCTAACTGGTCACACCCGCTGTGTGCTCCTTGTCATGATCAGGTAATAACTAAAAAATCCGTTGTCAATTCAGTGTATAAATAATGGACTAACAATTAGTGTAAAAAACGACAGTCAACATTTGACTCAATGATAATGATTTACGAAATGATGACTTTAAACGAGTCTGCTGATATTCTTGTTTAATCAACTTGCTTGTCAATAATTTACCTCGTTTTAGAAATTGTTCACACGTAGACATGGTCTCGCATATCGAATTAACAATATATATACTCCGTATACAGGTGATGAATTGCTGCTGTAAAGTAAGGGAAGTTTTAGAAAAGTTAAAGTCATCATGTTTATCATATAGCATTTGAGATTGCCATTAACGTCTTTTTAAATTAAAATATCCAAGTATGAAACATGTGTCAGACTATGTGGTATTGTTTTTTATCTCAAGCTCATTAGGATATATCATATCGACGTAGGAATGGAAATTACCATTGTTAATTGACAATACGTCGTCGATATATCTAAAAGTCGAGTTGAAGGCCACAGCAAGTGTTTTCTTCTTTTCACGCATAAGATTTTGCAAAAATTCTGCTTCATATGAATATAAAAATAAGTCTGCTAATAACGGACCGCAATTTGTACCCACGGGAATTCCAATAGATTGTTGGAATACCTGGTTCCAGAAATTTAAAGTTTCAATAAATTACAGATGAAATAAGCTGTTTATTATATTTTAGTATGAAATGCTTTAGCAAGATATAAGGCATGAAATTAAACAGAACGTTTGAAAAAATTAAACTTCAAATTTGTGTTCAAGCACTTTTAAAGGTGACCTTGTCTGTTCTGATCACACTCTTGCAGTAAATCCACTTTAAAGAAATTAACCCGAAATTTTAATGGATTATGAATTTTCAGAAAATAATTTTTATTTTATTTTTACATGAAAGAAAAGATACTTATTTACTCCCTTAGTGTATATTAATTTAAATAAGCTGATGTAAAAAGTTAACAGGATGTTTATAGAGAAATGAAATGTGCGCTTGTATTAATCTAAATAACAGTGATTAATCTCGTCTGATCTCAGGATGATTCTGAAAAAAAAACCCAATACACGTACATACATGTATCTGAAATTGCTATAAATGCAACAATTTTATACCCTTTTATTCAATTTCAGATGATGGGTGCTATGATATGGCAATATTAACGCCACTCCCGACTACCACGTTTCAAATGACAACGGCAAGTGGTGCAACGGTTATGGAGAACTCATCTCTAACGACAGTTAGAGGGTAATGTTCCTTTACATTGAACATACATTTAGGTATTAAATTGCAGATGTTTTAACTAGAGCTTATGTGTTTATGCACGGGGCCCTAGAATTGATATCTGAATCAATTGTTCATGTATATTGAGGAACTTATCACGATAATTGCTAAAATTTCAAACAAAACTTAATCTGAATAAATAAATTTACAAAAAGTAAATATGAATATTGATTTTGACTTTGGCTATTGATTAATTAAAACACGGCTATAACTTTTCAACCATCTTCCTCGTTTATTGAAATATCTCAAGCAAGTTTTGGAAGTTAGGCGAAAGTTTTTATTTATTTTTTTTTTGAAACGTTTTTTGAACAAAAATATGCTTGGGCAGAAAAATAAAAAAAAAATAATTTGGAACCTTGACATAATTATTTTTTTCTCGAGTAGCATTGAAATATATTCAAATAAAAAAAAATAAACACATACGATTTTTCAACATTGATATTTTTTCTTACCATTTGGTTTTTTGTCAACAAAAAAGAATCACGTGTCAAATGACCCAAGAACAGAAATGGGAGTATCAGAGGCTCTGTTTCTGTTGATGGTTTTCATTTTTCTGACTTACAAGTCCGAGTTTCCATATAATAGACACATTGCACTGGGACAAATATGGGTAAAATTAAGTAAATTGGCTATTCTTAGGTCAGCCTTTCCACTTATGAAAAAGTTTTTTGAAACTCCAAAAGTGTTGGGGTGCTTTCACAATTTAGATACGTGAGTCCAAGGACCAACCAAGGCCCGAAAATTAAGGAGACATTTCTCCCTCAAAAAAAATTAGGGAGAAGTTTTGAATTTACAGAGACTTCTTGGCGCGCGTATGTGGCACACATTGATAAATCGTTATAAAACTATATTCCATTGTTTATAACTTACATACATTTCAATAATTTTTTCTGTGTAAACATTGTATTTAAAATGATTAAACAAGAGAAAAAGAATCTTAAAAGATATTTCCCCCAATTACAAGGTATATAAATATCTAGAAAAAAAAAATAAAACCACATTGACATTAAATAAAATTTACTGCTACTACTATTAAAATGTAAAAGTTTCTTAGATTAATTGTTTATCAAACATTTTTTTTCATTTCTTACATAGTGGCACAAAATTAATCTTAAACTTCTAAAATTTCTCTTCTCATTAGATTTCCAGGCTTCTGACATAGTCATAATTTTGTTAATTTCTCTTCAAACTTCGTTTTCAATATAAAATTCTTCTTTTGATAAAAGTTTTGATGCACATATGCATGCCGATTGAACTACTTATGTTTATCGGATCCGATGCATGACTTCTTAGGAAGTTAATAACTTCACAATTTAGCAGTAAAAATATGTCTGTATCCACAGCATGAATTAATTATTTGACAATAAAAAGATCTAAAATCTTCTCCAACATCTTTGGCATGACATCGATAGCTGTCCAGCTGTTTTGCGTCTTGTTGTGTATAACTTGTAACGATGGACTTTTTCATACCCGGAAGTGTAAAATCTAGAGGAGTTCCGACGGTGTATTTGATGCATTGGTCATTAGTATGTAGAAACAGCCCTAGGTTGGTCCTGACAATCTGTATTTGTGGAGGTCATTTGAATGTTTAAGATGTGGTGAACATTATAAAAACAGTCGTTTGGTCGAGAAAATTTCGGATGAGTTTCGGGAGTCAGACACATTATTTTTATTTTTGTAAATAGGGAAAAATAGGGTCGGCGGAATCGTAAACCAAGAGAAAAAAAACTTCGGCCTTAGCATACGTCTAAAATGTCAAGTTGAAACGTGCAAAATCTTATCTTCAGCCTTATCTTGGGATATATTGAACGTACCTCTTCTTGTATTTTTCTCTGTAGATGACTTATCATTACAACGACTTTTAGGAAGAATGTAAAGCAAAAAGTAATACACAACAGTTTTGAATATATTAGAAAGAATACTAATAGTATATTCTTAAAATTTATATTTTCTATCTTTGTAGGGGAAATGATATACCCAAGGAAAGTGAAGCCAATGTTTCGATTATTTTAATTGTAGTAGTCATAGTGATTTTTGTAATTGTTGTGATCATAGCATCAGTCATTATATTTAAGATGAAAAGGCGCAGACGGTCTTCATGTAAGTTATATGTATATTTGTTTCGGACTGTAATCCTAATTTAATTTTATCAATTTCAAAGAAAAAAAAATATTTTAACTTCTTTGATTGGTTACGATTTTTTGTTTACTTATTAGATGGAGATGCCAACGAATCTGAGGAAGAAAGAGAAGCTTTATAAAATTATAAGTGATAAAATCTCCGCTTGCAAGGTTGATAGAGGAATGACAAGCTAGTGTACACCAGTGTTTCACAATATCAGTTGTTGTATAGTAAGCCTTCCGCTTAGCAAATCTTGCCCGAAGTGTTTTGGTATCTAGATATTAAAATAACAATAAGAATTAATCTTATATATTTAACATCCCCAAAAAGAGTTATCTACGTGAACAATATGTCAGATAAATATTTCCAAAAGAATAATTCTTTCCAAAGTAAACATTCCCGGCGTATAACATCAAAATCACCCCCGATGTTTTAATGTAAAAATGATACAATTTCTGAGAACATGAAAATAATTAATTGATAATCAATGTAATACAACAATACTTTTATGATGGAAATCCGCTGTATTAAATGCCGTTCAAATTAATTCTAAATTGATTTTTATAGATTCGAAACGAGGGTTTTGTATCAGAATTAATACCATATATCATATTTTGTATGATCCAAATCCATGATACCAGTATCCTTTGTCTTAGAACCGACCCCTTTTCATTTTTATTTCATACTTAACCATATTTTAATACGTTTTTCTCTATCTATATACTTTTTTTCACAACCAAGTATGTGTTCATCGATTTTACTAGTGCGTCTTGGTTTTACAAATATGTGCTCAGTGAATGCCAAACGTGTTCAATAGATTTTTATTCTATTTATGAAAATATATTTTACTCAATTACTTAACCGAAAGATCGTTTCTTTCTGAAGGAATTCATTCGACATGTGCACTATTATACTCCAACAATTATTTTTTCAACACAAATAAGTTATGATTTCAACTAATTCACTGTTTGATTAAATAGACATTTGCATTTAAAGATATGATTTTCAATGCATACAAACACCAGGAAAGTGAGAGAGACTGCAATTTTCATTTTAAACATTATGTATTTAATTAGCTTGCTGCAGCGAGATTCACATTTCTTGTCCGGATCATAGCATTGTCTGTAGGCATTATGTTATTATTGCTCAAACATATTTTCAATTGGTATTGAATGTACAAATGTACTTTATTTTACACTGGAGTATATATTCATTTATTGCGCTATTATTCAAGACCAAAGTTTTTGAGTGAATTAACTGATAGTGCATTTATTAAACAGTGAGGATAGATTTTCCCATAGGCTGACAGACATTTGTAGTTGCATTACTCAATTTGTTTTTAAAAACCGTTGCAGTTATGAGACTATATCTTTCAAAAGCTAATGATTCATTGCTTAAATATGCTTAAATTTTGCTTTTTATTACATGTTACACTTAAAATCTACAATTGTTAACCATGTGTTTATGATAGGATAACTGGGATGTAATTTACTTTTTCCTCTTACATGTTTTTGATAAAAGTATGATTTTTTTCCATGTAATTTCACATTTCATTTTCTATTCAGGATATGCCTCAGAATGAATATTAAGTCTAGGTACAAGTGTTCATTTTACATAAGGAGGTAAAACTGCATTAACAGTACTATTGTGCACTTAAGTATTCCATTATACTTTTTTAGAAATATTTAAATTTTTCAGCAAAAAGTTTTTTGTAGCAAAAAGTATGTTTTGTTATGCAATTTTTGCATTATTACACTGCCATAACATTTTTTAAAAATCCGTCACTTTACGGACATAAAATTTTTATAGATTGTTTTTCCTTTGTATGCTTTTTTTTACAACCAAGCACCGGTATGTGTTCAGCGGTTATACTATGTGCGCTTTGGTTTTACAAATATGTGTTCAGTGGATTCCAAACATGTGTTCAATAGATTTTTATTCTATTTATGAAAATATATTTTTCACAATTATTTAACTCAAAGATTGTTTATTCGACTTGTACAATAGTACACTTTAACAATAATTTCTTTCAACACAAATATGTTATTGATAGGCAGACAGACATTTGTAATTGCAATGCGCGTTACTCAGTTTGTTTTTAAATACCATTGCAGTTATGAGGCTGTATCTTTCAAAAGCTAATGATTCATTGCTTAAATATGCTTAAATTTTGCTTTTGTTACATGTAACACTTAAAATCTACATGTATCTATTATGACCCAAGCTAATTTTGTTCTTGCTTAATATTTGTTAATGATAGGATAACTGGGATGTAGTTTACATGTACTTTTTCCCTTTACATGTTTTTAATAAAAGTCTGATTTTTTTCCCACGTAATTTCACATTTCATTTTCTATTGAGGATATGCCTCAAAATGAAGATTAAGGACAGATGATACAAACAAAAAATGCATGCCTCGGTTGGTATATATTTTTTGGCCTAATTTCATTAAAAATTATGCAAATAATAAATTTCTAGAATATAAAGAATTTGTAAACCTTCTGTGATGTTCCAAATTCAGCCTCTCTGAAACCAGCCTTATTAATCAACACAAATATTTTTCACTTCAAATCTCATTTTTTTGTGGAAATTTGAATAAAAAATTAAAAACTACGCGGTGAAAGTTATTCATTCTACTCAGGTTGTATTTTATATTTATATATTTATTTTATTTTTTTATCTAAGTAATTAATAAATTAAATATTTTAATTTTCCACGTGGAATGATACATGAATATTTAGGTATTTATTTTCTTTAGTTCTTTATACCAGTACTTAAAGTCCATGGGAAAATAAATTGGGTAAAAACTCAGTCAATGCGTAAAAAAAAGAAATCATTAATTGGTATTTTTATTGACGAAAAGAGGAGAGAAGAAAAATAGTTGGTATTTGACAATTATTGTAACATTTCATCATCTCAAGATACTAACAGTACAACAATATTTACGTACGCATTATTCAATGATTTTGTTTCCATTTTCTCAATTTACGTGTTCCTTTAACTTACTCAAAATTCACATCAAAATTACTGATTTTTTTTAATTGGGCATAAAAAAAATTACATGTACATGTGCATATTCCTGTATATTTTTTGAAAAAAAATATAGCCGCAGGTTTATAGAAAACAATTCGAATACGGGATTGGGAGGACGACTCAGAGAAATTTAAGAAAAAGTCTTCAGGCTTTATTATTAAAATCTAGTCTAATGATGGGAGTTAATACAGTTAAGATCTCTCTCTCTCTCTCTCTCTCTCTCTCTCTCTCTGTCTAGATGTTTCCTGTATATATTTATATTCAAATATTTAGAAATATTTTTTACATATAATTAATTTTTTTTTTATTAATGTGTGTGTGAAGAAAAAAAAAAGGGGGGGGTATTATCATATTCTAAGCGGGCAGGGAGAACAATATTATTTGTCATTTTATTTTGTTTTTTTTTTCACTATGAGTAAAATCATAATCGCTCCGTAATTCTGAGCGTGAAAAAGATCTGATATAATTTTGTTTTAAATATCCGATAAATATTTATAACGAACTTTTAATCTGTAACTACTATAAATGAAATCTAAATATATAAATTGTACAAAAGGCAAATGTAATTTATAGATGCGATATCATAATTCACGTGTTTAATAAAGATTTAAACTACGATTCTGCAAAACTTAAGGAATAACAAATATGATTTTAAAGCATACAACACATGAATTCCAAAGGTATTTTGTTCAGAAATAAGGCAAAAGTGAGTTTCACTTGTACACCATACATTGAAAATCAATTGAACACCTTTTTCTTTTTTTTCACGTTAAAACTAAAGAAAAAAATAAATGCCTAATAACCCGCTGTCAATTAAGAAATAAGGTATTATTTTTTTGAGTGTTATTGGGATGTAAAACGGGTTGGTCACGTGATCAAATCCCATAAAGCCCGAAGGGCTTTATGGAAGATTTGATCATGTGCCAACCCGTTTTACATCCCAATAACACTCAAAAAAATGATACCTTATTACTTATATTTACATTTGTGACTTATTCATACTTTAAACTTGTCTGATTGTGACTTTTAACGTGTGAAATGCATTATTTTTCAAACCCAACGGCATGCATGTAATCCACTGACCGCGAGTCGACCCTTTATGACGTCACAGAGAAATTACGTCGAACGTTTATACATACGAACATCTATGACCTCTTGACCCCGTACCTGTATTTACACAGTTATAAAAACGCTTGCTTTCAGTAGTGTTATATAAAGGAAAACATTTGCAAATGTAAATATATAACTTTGAATTTCTCGGGATCGAAATTCCGAGATCGGAGAAATCAAGGAAATTTAATCAATTATACATGTAAACCTACGTCAAATGTACAGTTATAATTAATCAAAGTATAAGTAATAATTACATGTAATCAATATTCCCAATAACGTTTACTGTTTACATGTACAGTGTACATACATGTATATCGATCGCCGCATAAACAACAATGATCGATCCACAATCCCATTACCGTATCGGAATATGAAAGGGGCGGAGTTTAGTGGCGGAGAGATTAAAGCGGGGTCCGCTTCACGCATCAGTACGTAAAGCGGTCCCAGAAAGCGAACGCTGGGTTCGCTCTAGCGGACCCAGAGCTGACCCCGAGCGAACCCGGAGCGACCCCAAAGCGCACCCAGAGCGGTCCCAAAATTTCTGAAAGCGAACCCGAAGCGGACTCCGAGAGAACCCGGGAAGCGAACCCGGGGTCCGCTTCGGGTTCGCTCTGGTGTTAGGTTGTGTGCGGTCGGTACTGTACAAGTGTTCATTTTACATAAGGTGGTTAAAATGCAGAAACAGTACTATTGTGTACTGAAGGGGGGACCTATGTCATTCTACGTCATAACAGCGTTATTTGACGTCACAATAGCGACGTTTCTTTTATACCTGCTGACTTTCGCTAAGTTTTGTGATTTAGGCCTAACATTGTAAATAGTCAATAACATACACAAGTTTTCAAAAGAAAATTTAACCAATATTAACAATTGTCATAGTTTTTCGTTAATTTAAAGAGTTTAATAATACTAGAATTCTCTTCCATTGGTTGATAGTTCGTAGTAATTTCAGTTGTGAAAAGATTACGTCTATAATATGATGACATAAGTGCAAAAAGAAAAGATAAAATTCGGCAAAGAAAACGGCTTAAATCAGGAAAAAAATATGTTTACTAGTAATTTCAGCATTACATTAATTGTTTTTTATTTTTGATAAAAATGAAAACAAGATTTAAAAAAAAATGTACTCGCGCCTATATTGTTTTAAAATTGATCAGTAGATATAAGTATTGGCTGTTGACGGGGAAAGGGGTGGGGCCATGTACAGAACGATCGGAATCCAAAAAAAAAAAAAGATTATATTAGTGTTAGTTATTACCAATCAAATTAGCATACTTTTTTCCGAAAAATACTTTAATATTCAAATGTTAGTCAGTGCTTACTTACCTTTGTCTAAGTGCAGAAAGGTCAATATTTATGACAAAAAAGTATGAAAATTAAAGAAAACCTCATATTACTCTTTTATTATATCACAACGGTATAGTTTTTTCCTTACAAAAATAAAAAAAAACAGAATTCATTTCTTTAAAATTTATGAATTATAATTTTTTGCACACAAAGACTTTTTAAGATATTGCCTATCATGCGTGACGGAATTGTTAAAAATACGACAGAAAATGGGGGATGACGTCGCGCACGGTATTGGGGTCGTTTTTGTAACGTCAAAAACGTCAAAATAACGTTATTTTAAAACGCTAAATATTGACGTTAAAGACTTTAGTATTTTATGACTTTAATTTATACAAAACACAATATACATGAAATCAGTTTATTGAGTTTAAATTTTTCTGCTACATGTATCATGTATTTTACAACTTTTATACATGTATTGTCAGTATCATTATAAAATACAAAATCAGACGCAAAGTAATTTTCCTTTACATTGTTTCTTCTAAACATCTTATGCCCTGTTCACACTTAGAGTTTAATTCGAATTAAACGTAAAGTTACTGCGAATTAGCTTCGCTTAGCGTTCAGATGGAGAATTTAATGCGAATTAGTTTAATTCGAATCAATTTACTGCGCATTAGATTACTTCGCATTAGCTCCGTGTGAACGCTAAGCGAAGCTAATTCGAATTAAATTTTGACGCATGCGTAAGGCCAGAATTAAGTCACAGGACACGTGTTGGTGGTTATATATAGGTATTTGTGCTATATTTAGTTCAAAAATTGAGGGAAAGTATGTTAATCTCTAAAATCAATGAATATCTGTAGCCACTATATGATGTATCAAAGGATGACTCTGCATACATGACGTGATTTACATATGACGTCATAATAGACTTACTGACGCCTGACTGAAGAAGAAAAAAATTAATTCGCATTAGTTTACTTCGCATGAGCTGTCGTGTGAACGCAATTTAATTCGCATTAATATGATTCGCATTACTTTACTTCGCATTAATTTACTGCGAATTAAACTCGTCGTGTGAACAGGGCATTAAAATTCGCTCATGAAGCGATTCCTGAATATCTATAACGCCATCATCATCAATTTCAAGTTCAGAACATATGTATATGACTGATTGTGCAGGCACTATAGCTGGTATCCTTTTTATTAGTTTCTGTTCCAAAGGATTTTCATTTTGAACACCAAAATAGTATCCATGTACTACTTTGCTTCCTTCCGGAAACGACATTCCCCACTTGTCGGTTACACATTTTCGCAAGACAACTGATTTTTTCGATGCTTTTAAGATGTAGTATGGATAATTTATATCATCTGCTTTCACAGCAAAAACTGTATCTGTAGAAATCAAATCGACAATATCTAAATCATCAGTCTCATCAGTTTCGCTTTCATCATTTTCATGGTCTGTTTGTTTTTTCATTGTTATTGTCGAAAACTGCCCAAGTTGATCATTGTTCAAACACTCACTGTAATCACCAACAACGCAGTTGTCGCAAGAATAACAAGATAATTTTCGAGTTACAAGTTTACCGTTTATTGATGAACAAATTTGATGAATTCTTCTATTGTCTTTGACTGGTTGGAAATACCTATCTCGGTCCCTGTCTACGGAGTTGATGTACCTAAATATCCGACGTGAACATTTAGATGTATCAGTTGTACGAGATAAATTACTTTGAGCAAACTCAAAGAAATCACGCGCACTTTGAATTACTTGAGACCCGCGAATAACGGATAAATCTGCTTGTTTTTTCACGTAACCCCCCGCAGCGTCTTGAGGCCCCCGTGCATGAGAGGTTTCAAAATAATTTCTGATTGCTTTTGAATATAAGTCAGAGCATGAATAGGCTATGTCTCCCATGCAATGGCGACTTTTATATTGGGCACTGCACCCGTCAGTGAATTCATGCATCACGGACACATCACATGATATAGATCGTAAATATTCCGAAAGTAATTTTTGGACATTATTTGTAGAGTGATGGTCATGCTTTTGGTCTGGACTTATAACAATGAAATGTTCAGTCACA